AAATGCATTTGGGTGGTGGCTGCTGGGCACAGCACTGAGAAAACGCACTGCTTCATTGTAGTGATGAAGGATCTGGACTGGGCAGAGGTGCCGCAGCCTCTTTCAGCTGCAAAGCCGCTGGTTTTTATTATTTATGGCAACACAGCATGACTGCCGGAGCAGCGGAGCAGGTAATGTGCAGTGCTCCCTTTGGAGCTTGCTTCAGGGCAGGCAGTTCCTTGCTGTGCCTCAGTTTCCCCATCTGGGAAGGGACCTGACGCCATTGCTCTCCTTATAAAGCCCTCAAAGACTTCAGCGCTCCCCTGGCCCTGCTTGCTTTCCCTGCTCGCTTTCCCTGCTGACCTTTCCTTTCCTTTCCTTTCCTTTCCTTTCCTTTCCTTTCCTTTCCTTTCCTTTCCTTTCCTTTCCTTTCCTTTCCTTTCCTTTCCTTTCCTTTCCTTTCCTTTCCTTTCCTTTCCTTTCCTTTCCTTTCCTTTCCTTTCCTTTCCTTTCCTTTCCTTTCCTTTCCTTTCCTTTCCTTTCCTTTCCTTTCCTTTCCTTTCCTTTCCTTTCCTTTCCTTTCCTTTCCTTTCCTTTCCTTTCCTTTCCTTTCCTTTCCTTTCCTTTCCTTTCCTTTCCTTTCCTTTCCTGTCCTTTCCTTTCCTTTCCTGTCCTTTCCTTTCCTTTCCTGTCCTTTCCTTTCCTTTCCTGTCCTTTCCTTTCCTTTCCTGTCCTTTCCTTTCCTTTCCTGTCCTTTCCTTTCCTTTCCTTTCCTTTCCCTTGTTTCCCTTTTCCTTCCCTTTTCCCCCTTCCCTTTTCCCCCTTCCCTTTTCCCCCTTCCCTTTTCCCCCTTCCCTTTTCCCCCTTCCTTTCCCCCCCATCCCTTTCTTTTCATTTCCTTTTCCTTTCCGTTATTCCAATCCTCCATATTAGCTCAAGAACTTGCGGAGCGAAGCAGCGCCGGGAGAAATCCCGAAGGCTTTGCAGAGAAACACGGAGCCGAAACCCTCTCCCGTCAGAGCCCTCCGCCCGCCGGCAATTTGCCGCCGAAGCAATTTGCCGAGTTCAGTTTCCCCCCCATCCCTTTCTTTTCATTTCCTTTTCCTTTCCGTTATTCCAATCCTCCATATTAGCTCAAGAACTTGCGGAGCGAAGCAGCGCCGGGAGAAATCCCGAAGGCTTTGCAGAGAAACACGGAGCCGAAACCCTCTCCCGTCAGAGCCCTCCGCCCGCCGGCAATTTGCCGCCGAAGCAATTTGCCGAGTTCAGGATGGGTTTGCCGCACGGCTGCCAGACTCACCGCGCATCGCTCCGGCAGCTCCGTGTCCCCCCACGGTTCAGCGGGGACTCGGCGACAGCCATCCCCATGGGTCTGCCCGGGGATGGGGAGCACCCAGCGCACCCATCCTTGCCCCCCGCACCCTCCGGCCATCCCAACCTTCGCACCTGTGGATGATGCCCCGGGCCCTTGGGGCTCCTTCGAGGCGTGGAGGATGATGTGAGCGAAGCCCCCCTCCTCCAGGACCAGTATCCACGTCAGGATGGAGGGGACCGTCCCCAGGGCAGGGCAGAGCGGGGTCACCCTCCCCGAGGGATGCCCTGGAGCAGCCCCTGGAGCTGAATCCCACTGGAGCTTTGCCGGCTGGACCCTGAGTGTTGTCCCAGCCCCGGGGAGCGCAGGGGGGGTCCTGGCCTGGCCCACCTCCCTCCCTGTGCTGCATGTCAGCAAATCCTCCCCCAGGAG